GAGAAAAAAAAACCTCTAATGCATAATGAATCCCTGATATTTCTGTTTCTGGCCTCATTTGTGTTATGCTGCACAACTTTACTACAGACTTATTTCTAGATACATCCTGTTGTTTTGCTAAACAGACATATAGTTAACCTGCCTCCTAATACTTAGGTTTGTGTATAGACTGATGCTGCCCTCGGCCTTTGTAAAAAGCTTTTATCTTCTTTAGTAGATGATCCCCCTCTGAGTGAAATAGTCACTGACTAACATAACTCCCAATTGGAAAAGCCTAACAATGAGGGCAAATAAAGGGACTTGCTGCTCCTGGAGAAGTCCTGCGTTCAATTCACAGGACCAGTGTCAGGTGGCTTGTAATTACCCGTAACTCCAGATTCAGAGGAATCTGAGACATCTGGCCTCTGTGGGCACATACACTCACACATGTATTCCCATAATTAAAATAAAAAGGAATTATAACATTTTTGTTGACTGAGCTTACACTTCCATGCCAACTGGTGCCATGTCTTATCTCCCCAACTAAAAAGCAAACAACTTAGGAATAACTGTAAGTCAGATTTTTGTTTTGTTTTATTTTGTTTTTCAAGACAGAGTTTCTCTGTGTAACAGTCCTTATAAGTTAGATTTTTAAATCATCAAATTTCCGGGTGGCAGTAGTGCACGTCTTTGACCCCAGCACTTGGGAGGCAGAAGCAGGCAGATCTCTGAGTGAGATCCAGGACAGGCACCAAAGCTACACAGAGAAATTCTGTCTTGAAAAACAAAACAGGCAAACAAACAAACAAACAAAAACCCATCAAATTATTTAAAAGGAAGATTAAAAGTAATCACCCTTTCCCAAGTACAAAATGAGCATGTGTCAAGGATTTTACTGAGCTCAGGGCTGAAGGGCAGACCAGAAAGAAAACCTTCACAACATGTTCAGAAGAAAGCTGACACGCCACAGATATGATTGATTCTTTCTACCAGTGACAATTAATTTACATTTCCATGAAAAGAAAGTGTTTGCATTATTATCAGTCCTATAAAACTCAGAAAGTTATACAACAGCTAAGGGACAATAAAATTCAAAAGAATGGCGTCTCTCCCCCTTATGTCCTTCACAATCTTACTCAGTTTCTCCTGACAATATAGCACTTCCCATGGCATCTGGTATGTGGCTGGCACTCGCTGTGCACTTGGAATTTGGATGATTGAAAGGCTGACTCCATTACAAAAACAGCAAATTGCCACATAGCAAACACCACACTAATGATTGTCTTAGGTAAAAATCCCCCATGATTCCTACAGTCAGGAAAATTCACATCCCATCAAAGTATTTCCTTTCCTGCCATACAGTTATCAAAAGGGACAAAGCCACTCCACAGTGGAGAGCCCAGGAGTGGTCAGATTTACTGCTGCTAAAAATGGGGCAAATTAAATTATATGCATGCCTCTTAACACGACAGGAAGGGAATTATTTCTGGGCAAAATATATACTGACAAAAATATATACTAAATTATTATCTGACCAAACATTAGGACCGAAAAACGAGTGCCTCATTAGAAAGCAACTGATTAGCATGTTTCTAAGACACCACAGCCGTGGAAGACGAACCAGAGCTGAGGATCTGTCTCGGAGTGAAGAACACCAGGAAACCAGGGAACGCAGCTTGGTTGCTGGAGGCAATGTGCATTCCCCAAGTGCCCAGTGGGGTGGTGACAGGAGCCGGGCAAGGCGTTGGCATTGGTCGGGGACTCTGCTGCGGCATCAGTCTCGTGGCCTCTTACAGTTCTGTGATTGCAGACTGTCCACATTTGGGGAGCTCGGTGAAGGACACGCGAGGACCTGCTGAACTATACTTACAGCTTCCTGTAAGTATAAAATCATTTCAAAAGGAAAGGTTAAAAACAGTTTTTAGAGCAGGAAGAGAGGGGAGGGATCTTGGCGCGGTTGCACGGATGTTTGGGAAGGTCTCATCCTTACTGTGTCTGATGATTCTGGTTCTGTTGCCTTCCCTGGCATTACTCAAGTTAAGAGGTGGATAATGTGGTCACCCCTTGGGAGCTGGATTCACAGGGTTACATCACAAAGGAGAGGGAGCAAGGGCCTGAATTTGAACTTGTAACTGCAAGCCATGATCTCTACTAGCATCTTGATTCAGGTTGTAAGTCTTATTTCAAATCCAGACTTCATGTTTACTAAAATTAAAATAAACTATTTTCTTCTTTCAGAAAATCCATTCCTTCTTGAAAAAAAATATTTTTAATTGAAATATATTTAGACCATTTCTCTCTTCCCTCTCTTACCCTTCCCATGTCCAACTAACTCCCTCCCCAAATTCACAGCCTTCTCTTTTTTAACCACTGCCGTTACATATACAAATAAATGACTACAACAGCCTGCTGGGTTCCTTCAGTGTTCCCTGAATGTATATGTCCTAGGGCTGACCACTCAGTAACAGATCACCAATCGGCAGGTTGATCCCTGATAGTCAGCTGGGAAGTTCAGCCCTGATAACCAACAAGAAGATTTGACCTTGGTAATCAGACCAGAGGTTTATCCCTGGTAACCAGCTGGGAGGTTCAGCCCTGGTAACCAAGCAGGAAGCTCAGCCCTGGGGAAAAAAAATGAGCTATTGTTAGTAGCCTGAAGTTCTTCATCTAGGCATGGGCTCCATAAGATTTCCCACCATCTTCGCTGAGATGTCAATTGCTATTGGAATTCTCCAGGTTGTTAGGCAGCCATGTTGCTGAGATTTCATAGGTGTAGCTTGTTTTCATTAGCTGGATGTGCTGATGCTGGAGTGTCATTCCAAGCTCCCAGGAGTCTCACCCAGGTGGATTACAGAGCCAATGTCTCCCTGGCCCACAGAACAAATTTAAGGCCTATTTAGGCAATTTAGTGAGATCCTAAAATTTTAAACAAATAGGTTGTGAAATTTCTCAGCGATAGAGTGTTTGCCTAACAGAGACAGAGCTCTATATTTAATGCCCACGTTCTCATCAGAAAACAACGTACGGGTGTGGAGTTTTCTCTGAAGAACAAGGACATTGAAATAGCTTAAGAACCCTTGGCAGGTTAGCGAGACAGCTTGGTAGGTAAGGACACTTGGCAGCAAAGCTGAAGACCTGAGTTTGAGCCCCATGACCCTTGTGGTGGAAGGAGAGAACTGACCCCGCCCACAGTCATCCTCTGACCTCTGGACAGGCATCTCTGCACACCCCTACCCATACACATAAATAAATAGTAATAACTTTTGTAAAAGACTCTTGGTTCCAAGTTGGTAAAGGGATGGAAATTAAACACAATTACAACTGTAACTGAAGCCATCAAATATGAACACAAAAGGAAATTTTAAAATCCTTGAGTGGGTGGAGCAGTGGCTCATCAGTTAAGAGCACTGTTGCCTCTTCAGAGGCCTGGGGTTCTAACATTCACAGGAAGGCACACAACCTGCTGTAACTCCAGTTCTAGGAGATCGGATGCCCCCTTCTGGCTTCCTCAGGGACTGCATGCAAGAGGTACATGCAAACATACATACATACATACATACATACAAACAAAGTGCTGATACACTTTAAATAAATCTTCGAAATAGTAAAGCAAAAATCTTTGAAGCATTTCAGTGAGTTACTCAATCACTTTTTAAAAACCATCTGACTTTTCCAAAAACTTCCGTATGGATAATTGCTGTCAGCAGCAAAGACCACCAGATCAAACCAAACAAGACAAGACCGGCACATCTTAGCAATGAAAGTGATGAGCCAACTGAAGTAGGAGACAAACCAGCCACACTGATAAAGGACTCCATCACCGCTTATAGCTGTGTTTCCAACCAAAACAGTGTTGTGATTTGAAAGAACATTTTCATTGAAAGCCGGCTTTGCCTCGCACGCACCGCCAGCCTGCATGTCCACACCCACCACTAACATCCACCACTAACAGTGGTAGTGTTTTTCCCCCCGTGCAGTGCTCACTCAAGTTAGGAAGGCCTGGCGTATTTACAAGGTGCTGTGAACTGTCAACTCAGAGGAAACTGTCTCAGTGACCTGGGACTCAAGCCCTTAAGCAGTGCGGGGCTCTCGGCTCCTGGGGGAGCATTCCAAATGCACACTCAATATTGTTCCGTTTCCACAGACTTAAGTGTGACATTTTAAAGTTCTGATTTTGATCTGCTGCTTGGCTGGAATTCCGAGTGAATCTCAAAACTTTGGGCCAGGAGGAAGAAACTGCATGCTGTCTTTTTATGCGAGCTCTGACACTTTCGAGAAGGCGCGGAGGGAGGCAGTGGTTTCTCTGAGTTGCTGCAGAGGGCCTCCCATGTCACGCTGTAGTGTCTGCAGCGGTTGAGCTTTCCGCCTTCCTGCAAAGCCTACAGTGTCCAGCGGCACTTCAGACGGTGAGGGAGATAGCCCCTTGGCTGAGAGCATGTCAAGCCTGTCCTTCACGGAGGGTGTAAGCAGCTGCCACATTAAACAGAAAACCCATGGGTCAAAATCCAAGCTGAGAGGGAAAAGGTAACAAGCCGACCTGTGCCGGGGTAATTCATGATTAAGTTAATGAATTTTTAATTAGGTTTATAAAGCCCTGAAGTATTTCCCGCAATGGCGCATCACGAAGCCTTTATTCAGGGAAGGCCAGAGCGCTTTAGATGTGGGTCATGTTGCATATCACCACGTGGATCCTCGTCCGTATCTCTAGTCAGGCACACTCTTAAAGGCAGAAAGGCGTGTGAAGCACCGCGAAAAACCAAACAAAACAAAGCCGCAGTCTGTTTAGGCCTAATGTGACACTTGCTCGGGATACCCCTGGGCAATTGTTCAATTTCTTCTGAGTTGGAAAAACAGATTATTATCAGTTTAAATAATACCTAATAAATTCCCACAAATCATTCCTAGCCTCCTACCTAGGACCTTGTAAGAGTGGGTTTGTCTGATAATTGAGAACATCCCAGAATTAAAAATAGAATGCTATTAAAAGTAAGGACCGCTGTTTAATTAAGTGTGCCCACTCACCAGCATTGAGCAGTGTCCTTAAAGCAAGGCGCAGGGTGGAGGGGAGATTAGCAAGTTGCTTCTGTGACTGGGAGTGACTCTCCATTAATCCTGGGGTGTATAGATCAGACCGCACCTGCGAGGGGAGGAATGGTGTGTTAATGGAGGTAGCTGGAGCAATCTGCTCTGAAGTGTTCTAGCTGGGAAATGCATCTCCAGAGAGAGAGAGATGGAAAGCCCCGTGCTGGGGTGAAGAAATAAGACAAGAGTCAAAGATAAGTGCACATTATGACTCCCTTTCACAGGTTCAGGCTTAATTAGCTTGTTAAGATACAATCATATTCAAAACGCTTAGAAAATTCTTTGGGGTCTGGCATTCATAATGGTATCCCAGAAACGTGTTCCCTCTTGACTCCGTGCACTGACATGATGCGGTCTGCAGAGCTCACGGCTGACCCCAAGCCAGCCAGCGGCAAAGCATTGACACTTGCTCTCCCTGGCTGCTCCCACACCCAACCAGGCCAGCTCCTCCCCTTCACCCCCACGTCAACATGGTATCTGGGGGTATGTACTCACTCCTATCTCCTGACTGCACATTCACTTTGGACATGACCACACGTGGCTGACAGAATGAGTTTATCCCTTGCTCTTCCTTCTTGTCAAAAGGCCTTTCAATCATGAAACACAAACTAACCTTGAACAGAAAAATACTTTGATATGATACCTAATAACGTGAATCTCCCGGAGAGCATTGTTTCAGACAGATTTATTATTTCATTTAACTCTTTGAAATGCTTTTAGAAGAAAAATGCTGTCTATATCCCCATTTTACAGATGAGTAAGCTGAGGCACGGACTTAATGATGATTTTCCAGGACAATCTAATATCTAATGGGGCCTGAATTTAAAACAATATCTCTCTGACATGAAAGACCTGTTCTTAACTCCTTTTCTGAGACTCTAAGGCTCACTGTGCCTATCTCTTTCTCTCAATTTTCTATATATCTGAAATACTGACTTAACAAATGAACAGTAAACAAACTATGGCACTTTCCAAATGCATGGTACCCAGCATCCCTGTGTCCCTAATGTGTTTTTAACATGGGGAATGACCAAGGATGAGAAAGAGCTAACATAGCAAATTGTTTTTGATTGCAAGATGCATTCAACAGTCAGTGACATTGAACTGTCTTCCTTAAGATAATGCTTCCCACCACTTCTTTTCTTCAAGCCCACTGTCCCCAGTTGCTACAAGCAGAAGGAGAGACTCCAGCTGATTACACTGCCTCTCTAGGAGAAAACCTCCTATGAAAACTCATTAAAGAAATCAGAGAAAAGACATGTTGCAATTTTAGGACCCTGGTGAGTCTATTTTAAATCAGATGGATATATGTTCGTGTGACTTGCCAAAATGTCTTGAAAAAAAATGAAAGAACAAGAAAAACACAAGGGCGGTTTAAAAAAATAATGCAAAGTGGAAGGATACAAGTACTATTTGAATCACAAGCGGTAAATTAAAGTCATTGTTAATCATTAATCATCCAAATTACATTCATGCTGCCGATGGGTTGCTCACCCTGATTCAAGCTAAGATATCTAGAACATTTGCAGGCTGTGCACCATGTTTACTACCTTGAATTTTAGCTTTTTTCATGAAACAGGAAGGGTTGCTGGTTAATTTCTGCCTAACAGAAAATGAACTTTGCCCTATTGTTCCTAGGTAGCGTTTAAAAATCCAAACTCCAGTCTTTGATGATTCCCTTGGATGTTCGTTAGCTTATTTCACAATGGAAGGATCCCAAATCCTGAGATTAAATGCCAGGAGATTTCTACCCTTTTCTGTCTTTGTGTCACCTCTCAACCCTGGCAGCTCTCCTTCCAGAAGAAGTCAGAGTTCTTGTCCCATCTCTACACAGATACTTCTTAACCCGCTCTGGGGTCATATCCAAGATGGGAAATCTCCTGAATATAAATGAATTTAACACATTTAACTGGTGGATATCACAGCTTAACAACCCAGGGCTGTGTTAGTCGCTAACGTTCCTCGGGCAAGTGTGGAAAAGAGGTCTGGACCACTGCACCATATCAGTGTCAGCCGCCAGCCCTAGAAGAGACCAAAATTCAAAGTACAGCTTCTGTGAGAGTGAGTGTGTGTGAGTGTGTGAGTGTGTGTGTGTATGTGTATGTGAGTGTGTGTATGTGTGTGAGTATGTGTGTAAGTGTGTGTGTGTCTGTGTTTGTGTCTGTGTGTGTGAGCATGTGTCTGTGTTTGTGTGTGTGTGTGTGTGCGTGTTTGCAGCATCAAAAAATCAACACAAATTCATATATGTAGGGAAGTACTCTACCCCTCAGCCATATCCCAGACTTCAAATTAAAAGTTCTACCAAAAAATATCCCATTTTTGTTTAAGTAGAACTCCACATCTTAAGTCTGCCCATCATAAGTCAGGAGCCTATTTTTGTTTGCCCAAAGTCTTTCTGGACCCAATTACACATTATTGGCACTAGCAAGCTTTTTCTGGATTCCTGTGCCTGCACCAGCACTGAGCACCTCCTGTGTTTGTACCAGAACCTCAAGGCATTCCACCTCATCACAGCACTTTCTTTACGTGCTGGAATGCAGTTGCTTGTTATACCAGCTAGTTTCTTCCTATTCCTGCAGTAAAATACCCCAACAAGAAGCAATTATTGAAGGGTTTATTTTGGCTTCCAGTTCAAAGGAATTTATTTTGTCCTCATAATGAAAGCATGGCCAACAGTGGCAGAAGGCAGCTGGTCACTTTGCTCAGCTGTCAGTAAGTGCAGAGTGAATGGGATGTGCTGGGGGCCAGGCTATAAAACATCAAGGCTTGCTCTCAGGAACTCACTTCTATAAGTGAGTTTGCACCTCCTAAAAGTTCAACAGCCTTCCCAAAGAGCCCCTGTAGCTGGGGACCAAGTATTCACACACATAAACAAGCCTTTCAGAGCATTTCGCACTCTGCCCCACACCCTCCTCCACCCTCAGCACTCACAACTGACTGTAATTATGACAGTTACTAGGGATTCCAGCCTGGTGGCGTTCTATCTCCAGGGTGCTACAGGGTGTCCAGCACATCAGAGGAAACCCTGGGAAGTACATCCAGTGATCAGATGAAGGGGTGAGCACTCTAAAGCCCGCAAGCCCTGCTTCTGTGGGTTAAGTGGTGTCTGGCCTCCAGCAAATCACTGCTCAGGTCAAGCACTGACTGGAGACCCAAAAGAAACTCACCATTCAGGAAGTGTTTCCATAGTTCAATTCACGTAGAGTTCTCATGGTCTAAGGCAATTATTTCAAAGCAAGGCATGAGCATTCTCATATTTCAAATCAATTAAGACTTGGTCAATAACACAGCAGTTCAGTTCTAGTATTGAAAACACAATTATTTTTTCATTATTGGAACAGAGGGCAAGGATGCTACTTACTTAACAACAGCACAACTGAAATGTTTTTGATGATAGTCCACTGAACTGGGTATGGTTGATCGCTATCCTAAGACTAGACAAGAACGAGGTAATCTCTTCTTTAAAAAAATTATTGTGCATTGCATGGCTGTAGGTAAGAAAACAAAGGAAATGGAGTAGTCTCTTTACCCTAAAAATACCACCTCAGTGAAGCTTTAGGATAGGGAAGTGGGAGACATAGTGAGAAGAAACACTGACAACTCTACAGAAAGGGGAAGAGATCATCAAAGACGGTGACAAGAGGAAGTCAAGGTCAAAGGCCTGTTTCATCAATGTTCTGCTCTTCATACCCATGTTCCCCTGGAGCATACAAAAATGACAAATCCAATCACTGCTTCTATGCAAATGTCTCTTGTGATAGACATGCTGATAGCACTGCTAAGACATCCTCATTCCTGGAGACCCCCCCCCACCAAAAAAACAGATTTTTCTCAAATGGTTAAATAGATTTTGCACATGGCAGAACTCTAGGCGGGACCAATCTGATCCATGAGATTCTTATATATGAAAGTGCACGAGGGTAACAATGAGGGAAATTGATAGAAATGCTTTACTACTTTGGGATAGAAGAAGCTGGAGGCCGAGGAATACGGGTGGCACCTGCAGGTGGAAAAGGCAAGGAGATTGTTTCCCTGGGATTCCAGAAGGACAGCCTTGCTGGCAACTTAATTTGACCCCAGTGAAACCCATTTCAGATTTATGAACTCTGGAGTGGGAAAAGAAGAGAATGTGCTCATTTGAAGCTATTAAGTTTGTGATCGTTATTTTACAGAAGTAATAGGACACTAATACACTTCCCATATTGGTACTGTAAACCTATGCCCTACAAGCACCCAGAATCAAACCCATCATTCTAACCCACATATGACTGTATGCCAGTTAGTCCTGATGGTCAATTTGATTAGCTTAGAACGGAAAGTAAAGCATTCTTGTGGGTGTGTCTGTGAAGGTGTTTCCAGAGAGAAAAAAAAGGGGGGAAAGACACACCCTGAATGTGGGTAACACTTTCCCATGTTAGCAACTTGGACGGGATGAAAAAAGAAAGGGGAGAAGCCCAGAGAGCACTCCTTTCTTTGTACCCACCCTGCTGTGATGTGACCACAACCATGCTCCTGCAACCATGGTGCAATGAAATTTCTGGATCTATGGACCTAAATAAACACTTCTCACCTTGGTTGACTTTCTTGGGTGTTTGGTGACAAATTGTCTAACAACACAGACTCCATCTCAATCTACCCACACAATTAGCTACCCTACCTTCCTTCTGGGTGAAGCCTAAATGTTCATTCTTCTCTCTCCTTGTTGGTCCCAATGCTTGTCAACTCATCATGATGAAAGCCTACCTACAAATACTGCTTTTGCTGTCTCTGTCATAATCCTAAAAGAATTCCAATTCTTTAGATAGCTAGGTTCTAATGAAAATTTGTGACAGCTTACATAGGAAAATGAGACAGAAAGGGAATGGAGGTAGGAGCCCTTCCTACACTTGACTGAATTGTTAGGCAAAAGGGATGGGAATTTCCAGTAGAGGTGAGTCTTCACCAGATAAGCTGATCCAAGGACTTTTCAGATAAGAAAAGATGCAGTTTCCATAGTTACACAGAATGAGAAATATTGGTGGAGAAATGAAGTAAAATGATCTTTCCAGAAATATT